CTCACACTAAGACCCCAGTCTCCACCCAGGGAACCTGTGCTGTTACAGAGAAGAGGAGGAGAACAAATAGCATCTTCTTCTAGTGTCTGAAATCAGGTTGAGCTGAGAGCTGTGGCTCTCTACATGTTTTCTTGCTGACTTTTGTGTGTGTGTGTGTGTGTGTGTGTGTGGTAGGACTGGGGTTTGAACTTGGGGTTTTGTGCTTACAAAGCAGGTGCTCTACCTCTTGAGCCGCACCTCCAGTCCTCTACCCGTTTTCAATAGTGGACACTGATTTTCAGAGCAGGAGTTTTGCAGAGTTCAGGGTTCATTTTGGTACCTAACTAACTTCTGCTAACTGGTCTGAGTGCTCCCTCTGTCCCCTCCCTCTGTCCCCTGAGACTGGTCCTGGCTCAGAACAATGCACTATACAGGAAGCAGAGAGTCAGGAAAATTCTCCCAGACAGAGAGGGCGAGCGGACTCACCCATTCTTGTGTCCACGCACAGGCCACTTACTGTCATCAGCGTAAAATCCGGCAGGACATTGGGTCACACAGGTGTTCGTCTCCTGGTGGTGATAGAACCCACGACGGCAAGACAGACACTGTGTGGGGCTCCTGCCTGAGCAGGTCTCACACCCCTTGTGGCACCGGCGACAGCGTCTTGCAGTTGTGTCCCCAAAGTAGCCTAAGGGGCACACGCTCACACACTTCCTGTGGGAGGGAGCAGGTATAGGTGAAGATTCGGGGTCTCAGCCCAACCCTATACCCTTCCTGTATGGTCCCTGAATAGGCTGAGCCAGGTGAGAATGGTTTCCCCAGAGCCTGGCAGTCTCTTGTGACTCAGTGACACCAGAGCTCCAGGGGGACGTGAAACCAGATGGCAGTGACCTATGTCTTATTGAGTGCAGTTGAGACACTCCCAAGTGTACAAGTGGAGGTTTGATCCAAAGCCCTAATATCAGGCATGGCGGTTTGTAACTATATTCCCAGCACTTGAGGGGGCCAAAGCAGGAGGATCTTGAGTTCAAGGCCAACCTGGGCTACATGGTGAGACTTTGTCTCAAAAACCAAAAAAAGTGGCTGGTGTTGTGGCTCAAGTGCTAGAGCACCTGCCTAGCAAGTGTGAAGCCCTGAGTTCAAACCCCAGTACCACAATAAATAAATAAACAAACAAACAGCAACAAAAAAAGGGAGTCCTTTCCTTTCAAAGTGCAAAGTGGCTCCAGTGGGAAGCCCTGAGGCAGCTGTGTTTTGCTTCCTGCAGGCACAATGACATAGGTGTTGGACCCCTGGAACTCTTATGTGGGTCCCTATGGGGAGTAAGTCTCCCAGGCAGAGAAAAGTGCCTGTGTACAGCAGCAGGTGACACATTGTGCCCCAAAACTCTAGGAACCCCAATGGCCACATCTGTGCTTCCACTGTGCACACTGCAGTCTGTCTGGCCTTCATGGAGACAAGCCAGCAGCTTTTGGAAACAGCTGTCACAAAGGCCTTCAGGAAGGCCAGCAGTGTCCTGCCCTGTCATCATGGCCTCCCAGGCCAGCCATGTGTAGAAGGCAGGTTTGTGGGATGAAGAAATGAACAGCAGAGTAACTCTGAGACTTCTGGGGAGATGTGAGAGTTGAGGACACCCAAAACTGAAGGAACCAGGACTCAAGTGCAAGGACATTTGAGCAGGCACACTCCTGCAGAAAGGCCAGCCTGGGCTGGGGCAACTGGCCACAGGCTTGGGGTCCAAGGTCCACTCTGCCAGAGCCTTCCCTTGGGGTGCACTCAGCCCTACAGGCTTTCTAGGGAGCTGCCAGGAGAACCCCACACCCAGCCAGAGGCTGCAGCCTGTCCCAGAGCCATGTCACCCTGCTGGCCGGTTGAGGATGTCAGTGTGGGGCCCTTGAATCACGTGTATGCACAGAACTCCCGTGGGCAGCCTTGCATATATGATAGCATCCAGTTTTCAAATGGGTGAATATGTTTTAAAAGCATGGCCACCAAAGTGCACAGCTTCTCGTTTCCCCATAATGGACACATATTTGTGTTATTAGAGCAAGGAGTCACTAACAATTTTAAAACTTCAAAGCATCTATCTTTGTTGGGGTGTTATACAGCTCGAAACGGGCTACCTAAGCGGCACCTTGCGGGGCTTCAGGACGTGCTGACAGCAGCCCCAGTCCATTACCTGCTGGTTTTGATGTTCCCCAGGCTGAAGTGGACACAGTTCAAGCATTGATCTGCATTGGGCCCATCACAGCCTTTGTCACCACACTCCGGATGGCACACACCTTAAAGACACAAGCATTTTCTTTCATCCAGAGAGACTTCTAGTCCCCAGTGGGTCCCTGTGTCAGAATATCACAGCCTGGTGGGGTCAGAAAGAGCTTCCCTCAGGTGTGGTGGTCCTATGGGGGCTGGGAGGCCAGAGCAGCAGGCCCAAGTACCATCTCATGGGATGTGGTCACAGCTGGGAGTTGGGTCTTGTCAGGCACAGCATGGGAACAGCAGTGGGTGGGGGACCAGGGTCCTACAGTAAAGCTGTACTGGCTTGGTCTGCAGCCATTATGCTGGGGCCAACTTACTCATTGAAGTCCACTATGAAGTGCAAGCAATGTAATTTGGGGTATTTTAGGTACTGGGGAAGCTGCCACCATATTGGTGAGACAACATGAATTGGAGATGAGACAGAGAGAATACCCCCCCCCCATGTTCTGCTGGGAATAAGGATCGATTTCCATGTGTTTAGGACCACCAGGTACAGCCATGCATAAGCAGGTCTGGGGTGGGACAGTCTGAGAGCACCACACCAGGGCTGGTGGGGGCCTGGGCTGGGCTCCCTCCCCCAGACTTCTTTTGGTTTCTCTCTCTCTAGCCTTCTTGTAGTGGGCCACCAATGTCTTCCCTCAAGTCACCTCAGGTCCCTAAATTCTAACTATGGCCTGTGTGTTGTTGGAAAAGCCCTAGAGAGAACTGGAGAGAGCTCAGTGGATTGTAGCTATCCTCCTCCTTCTTGAGTCTCCCTAGGAATCCACAGGAATGAGCCTGGTTTCAATGGCCACTCCCAAGCTGGGGTAGTGCGTGTCTGCATGTGTCCCCTCTTCCAAGTCTGTAGAAGTGACAGCTTCCTCAACAGCCTGTCCACCCCAGCCCTCCAATGGGGAAATGTCCCAGGGAACCTCTGGCCAGTTGTGAGGTGACAAGGAGCAGCTGAGTGGGACATTAGGAAGGCTTTAGAGTCTCAGGAAGGAAAAAGCCTCCTGTGAGGGTTGAGTTGTTGGATGGGGTGGGCAGTGATTTCAGAAGTAGAGAGGGTTAACTTGCTGGCCACCCGCACTTCATGGGGAACACAGGGCGAGACAAAAGTCCTCATTCTGTGCAACCCACAATGGGGCTTTGCTGAGGCACACAAAGCCCTCTTCATTTGTCTCTGGAGTCTCCAGGCCTCCCTGGTGTGAGGCTCGGGTTATTTTGCTTCCTTCCCGAGGGTTCACCACTGTTGACATTGCCCAGACTCCATTGTGGGTCCCCTCCTGCCTCTGTTCCCACTGTGAGCCCCTTTCAGAACTGCGGTCTTCCCTGAGACACTCTGGATGGCCTCTCCCAGTCACTGCGGGCCCTGTCTGTGTTCTAGACACACTCACCATTTCTAAAGAGCATCACTGAGCCCCTCCTCTGCCCCTCCAGACTGCTGTACTCTTTAGACCTAATCATCATCTGAACAGACTCTCACCTCCTCCCTCATCCTGGCCAGGAATGGGGGAACCTCAGAACTCCTTACTCCATTACACTTTTTTTTTTTGGCAGTACCTGGGTTTGAACTCAGGGCCTTGCACTTGCCAGGCAGGTGCTCTACCACTGAAGCTACATTCTCAGCCACACCATTATTTTTAATTCCCACAAAGCCAAAAACACTTTAACTTGACCATGGAGCTCCCGTCTCCCCACCACCAGGTGGCTCGGTCCTTGGTGGCCTTGCTGACACAGAGTCAAGCAAGTGGGCAAGGACTGCCCTCTTGCCTTCTGCAGCTGTTCCTCCCTAAGGCCCAGAGACAGCAGGTCTGTCTTGTTGGAAACCCAACTTCCTCCATCTTAAGGAGACTGGGGGCATGTATGAGTCGGGGGAGGGACAGGGAGATGACACACTAATATCTTCACTCTTTGTAGGCACAGTAGATGACAAGTCCACACAGGCAGGGTGGGGGTCTAGCCTGGTCACTGTCCACTCCTAGCACTTAGAGTGGCAGCTGCCACAGAACAGATGCTCAGTAAATATTTGGTGAGTGGCTGACATGTGACAATTACAGAATGTAAGACATACAAAAAGAATATTCTTGAAGTCCCAAAATATGGGCAGCCTTGGGGAGCCTGTCATTACTCCATAGGATTGAATGTCACTCCCAGCCACTCCCTCCCTCTTGAGGCCTCTCCACTGGAAAGTTTCATCAGTAATCTTGAGGGGAGCCCCTTACAAGCTGGGGTCTACCCAGCAGCAAAGGCAACAGAACTGTGACACCACATCAAGGTCATAGGCAACATGCAGCACCCAGCTGAAGAAGTCAGGATGAGACATGGCCCACCCAAGAGGCGAAGACAATTATGTGCGAACAAACTCACCAGCATGGAACGCTCTGAACTGTTTTAAAAGCCAAATATCCAGACTCATCTCTTCCATGAAATGCTCTGATAAAATCCAGCTAGCTGGTGTCTTGTCCCAGTCCCTTCACTCCCAGGAAATGTTCTGGCATGGCTGGGCTGTAACTTACTCTGGGTGAGCATCTGGTGTCTGTGTTGCAATTTGTAGTTACGTCTGCTTTTTCTCTGATAGCATGACAGTTCATCTAAGACTCATGACTTCCCTGGGTCACTTCCCAGCACACCAACCCTTCCCATAAAACGGGCGCTCCGTTAAGGAGCAGGATGGGCTGGCTAACAGCTGGTGACATTTCCAGGGCTTGACTGACACAGGTTAACTTGGAAACCCCACCTTAAACCATTCGTGGAGCAAATCCACATTTAATAAAATACACCAACAAAAAATTAGGGAAGCAACTTGGAAGGTTTTTTTTTTTTTTTGGTGGTACTGGGGTTTGAACTCAGGGTCTCATGCTTGCTAGGCAGGCATTCTACCCCTTGAGGCACTCTACAGGCAAGGGCAGTCCTTTTTGCTTTACTTATTTTTTAGGTAGGGTCTTGCTTTTTTGCCCAGGGCTGGCCTGGACCACAATCTTCCTACTTTTGCCTCCCACTGTAGATGGAATTAGAGCTGTGCCCCACCATGTCCGGCTTCTTTGTTGAGATGGGGACTAGCCAACTTTTTGTCCCAGGCTAGCCTTGAACCTTGATCCATCTTTCTTTGTCTCCCAAGAAGCTGGGATTATAGGCATGAGCCACCTCGCCCAGCTCTTGGGAGTTCTTGATGAGCATAGATCAACTGCTGAAGAAGAAGGCTGATTTTGTAGGTATTACCATCCTTTTGGCCATTCACCCCATTCAAGGCAAGGGCACTGGAACCTCCTCGGACATTCAGACTCAGAGTGGGATGCAAGAGTCGAGTGGGTGGCTGCAGACAAGAAGAGCCGATGAAAATACCAGGCTGCTCTCCTTCCAAGTCGAGCCTCTTTCTTGACTGTTGTGTGACCTAGTCAAGTTACTTAACACCTCTGGGCTCCTGCCCTTGCCTGTAGAGTCAGTCTATGACTCCATACAGCCCTAACCTGGACACTTCAAGCACAGTGTGAATCAACTCCTGTGTACCTGTCAAGCTGTCCTAGAACCCTGTCTTCCAGACAACTACAGGGGTTCTCAACTCCCCTCACAGCCCCATGTGAATGGACACACTGTCACCACCTTGCTCAACGACTGCTTCTTTCCTGAAGCTCAACGTCCTTCTGTGCCCAGGACACTTCAGTGATGACCTCTCAGCCACTGTCTTGTAGAAATCGTCCGTGTCCTGCCCACATGCAGCCAAGTCCAGCATCTGCCAGCTCCCTAGGTACAGGTGCTTTGACTTTCCTGGTACAGGCACACCACAGACTCTGGGTGGAGCCAGGCCTGGCCTGCTCTTCAGTCAAGCATCCTAGAGAGTCCCTAGGGTGGCCTCCACCTGCACTACCACTACCAGAGGGCTCCATCCCAGCAGGCCTGGCACCAAAAAGCTGTCCACCCTCAGTACTGAGGTTGTGGTTGTCCTCCTTGTGCCTCACCCTGCCACTGTGGCTGCCACCCAATCCTGCCAGGCCCTCTGGCCCCCACCCTTGTGCTGACATTGCTGTCCATCCCACCAGCTGGACTTCCATAGCTTCCTTTACCTTAAGAACTCCAGCATCCACTCTTGCCTTAGCCCTCTCTGGCCAACTTCTCCCCTTTCTTCCCAGGAAGCCATGCTGGCTAACTGGTCTACCTCACAGTGGCTCCCTTTATAGGGCAGCTCTTCTGCTTAGCTCCAGGCAGGTGTCTGGTCCAATTTGGATGTGGCTTGAGGGTGTCCAGCAACGGTTCAGGCTGGGAGCTTGGTCCCCAGCAGGGCAGTGCTAGAGCGGGATCTCGATGAGGTGGGTGCTAGTGTGTGATGGTTAATCTTGACTGTCAACTTGATTGGGTTGAGAAACACCTAGATTAGTAAGGTGCACATCTGGGCATATCTGGGAGGACTTTCCAGAGGTGACTGGATTATGAGGGCTCTGACCTAATTGATGGTTTAATCCATTAATTGGCTTAAAAGCAGAATGATTGGGAGGTGGCAGAGCTGTGGAAAGCAGGGCTTGTTGGAAGGAGTGTGTCACTGGGCTGTGCCCCAGAAAAATGTAACTTGCCTCTGGCCCCTTCCTGTCTCCTCTCTGCTTTCTGGCTATCATGAGGTGAGCAGCTCTGATCCACACACCCTCTCCCCCTCCACCATGATGCTCTGTCTCACCACAGCCCCAGAGCAATGGAGCCAAGTGACCAGGGACTGAAACCTGAGTCCAGGAGCCAAAATAAATGTTCTTCCTTTCAACCGTTTCTCTCAGGTATTCATCACAGCAAAAAAAAATCTAACTTCCGCTGTGTGTAAGTTATCAGGTCTTATAAGCATTGCCCTTGGAAAAGATTAATGCCAGCTCATGGGACTGAGTCATTTCTAGCAAGAGCAGGTTATTAGAGAGCGAGTCCACCCCACCTGCTTGGCCCTCAGGCATGCCGTGGGTTTCTTTTCTATTTATTCACCTGCAGCCAAGGGGACCTTCCCCAGACACTGGACAGATGGGCTCTCCTGATGTAGCTTCACTGTGAATTAAATGACTTTTTTTTTCTTTATAAGGACTTATCTTCAGGCATTTTGTTATAGCAACAGAAAATATACTATTGCAGTGTGTGGTGCCCGCTTCAGGAGTCCTGTTTTTCTGCAGTGGACAATCTTGCTTGGTGCTGTTTAGGGACCCTTGCTGCCCACGAGTGTTTCCTTCTCCACTGCTCACTTGCCTCTATTTCTCATCTCAGCGAGAGCTTGTCCTCTACCTCTCCTGTTAGTCCCCTGCTTCTGGCTCCTGTGACTACTGCTTCATCATGCTCCCTCTGCCCCTCCCGACATGGCAACTGCTGTCTTTCCATGGGGTCCAGATGGCGCTTACACTGGCCTGCACCCATCACTATATACTGCCTGTGGCCACCTCCCAACTTTCTACAAGTCACCACTCACATTTCCCTTGACCTTGTTCCTCCTCCTTAGTCTCTTACACCTTGGCACCCTCTGGTTTTTGTTCCTTTTGTCATTCTGTCCTGGCCTCTGGGTGGCATTTTCTGCTGTTACTGGACCTCCCTCCATTTGCCCTCGAGACAGTCGGGAGCTTCCTTGAGAGCCAGGATCACAGCTCATTCCAAGGGAGACCCCTCTATCCATCCAGGCCGTGCTGGGGTGGGACCAAATGATTGAGAGAACAGAACAGCATGACAGCAAGGTGTCAGTGTGCAAGGCTGGAGTCAGCAGCAGATTTTAAAGGGGAAAAGTCAGTTCCTTATTAATAATTACTGAATCTTGCCACAGTTTATAAATCACAGGGGAAACAGATCAGATTAGTCTATACATAATTCAGTGCTCTGTTTTAAAGGAATGGTAAAAGAAATTTAAAATGGAATTGACCCATAATTTATGCTTGATTTGTATTGGTGGAATTCTTCATTTTGTTACTTTTTTTCTCAGAAGGCTGTTGGGCAACTCAAAGCAACCATATTCTTAGATATCACCCATCATTTTTTAAGTAGCCAGAACATTTAGCTAAGAAACATATGCCCAACCAGAAACACGGAGTGCCACAAAAATCACTGTAGGATGGCTCAGGGGAAAAGGGACAGCTTTTTCTCCCCAGTATTGGGACTTGAACTCAGGGCCTTGTGGTTGCTAAGCAGGAGCTCTACCCACATCCCTAGCCCTCTTTGCTTTTAGTGATTTTTTAAATAAGGTCTTGAGTTTACACCCAGGGACTTCTGTTTGTACTTCCTTCATAGCTGGGATTACAGGTGCTCACCACCATGCCCAGCTTCTATCAGTTGAGATCTCTTGAACTTTTCACCTAGGCTGCCCCTGAACCTGGATCCTCCCAATCTCTGTCTCCCGAGTAGCTCGGATTACAGGCTTGAATTACTACACCCAGCTGAGAACAAATCACTTTCGACCTAACGTGCTACTAAAGTATCTGCACCCAGCTGAGAGGCTATAGGTGTCTAAAGCCTGCTTTGGGCTGATGTGGCTCTCAGCTGCTTTGCACATGAATTGACGGTCCAGCGCCGAGGCCACTGTGGCAGTGGGATGGCAGGAGAAAAAGGATTTGCATGAGGTCTTTACATGCTAAGATTTCTTTTCTTTCTTTTGTTGTTTTTTTTGCCTGAACTTGGGTTTGAACTGAGGACCTCACACTTGGTAGGCAGCGACTGCCACTTGAGTCATGGTTCAAGCCCTTTCAACTTCAGTTATTTTTCAGATAGGGTCTCCAGTTTTGGAGCAGGCTGGCCTCAGATCATAATCCTGTGTATGCCTCTGCATAGCTTGGATTATAGGCTCAGGCCACCACACCTGGCAGATTTGTTGAGATGGGGTCTTGCTAACATTTTGTCCTGGCTAGCTTTGAACTGCAGTCCTCCTAGCTGCTGTCTCTTGAGTAGCTGGGATTACATTCACGAGCTACCACGCCCAGCTATAGAGATTTTTGACATGTTTTTGTGCACCATCAATTTTTACTGTTGCCTTTTGACACTGTCCCCTGAGTATTTAATCCCAGCCCTCAAGGCTGGTCACCTCTCTACCACTAGCTACTTTCCTGGCTGTGCTTAGGAAACCCCACCTTCTGGGCCATGGGCAGCAAATGCAGGACACTGAAGATGATGGCCTTGAGTGAGTCAGGAGCAAGATGATGGGAGCCTTTAACCTGGAGGTAGCTGATTAACCAGGGGCAAGTCCAAGTTCTGGTTGGGCATACAGGAAGGAGCTCAGGGCCCGGCCTGGGAAGGTTGGAGAGTACTTATGGATTTGAAGTATACTTACTGGTCTGTAATATATTAGGAGAGCCATGGCTGGGAGGAGCTGTGTGAGTGCAAATTATCATGATTATTAAGACTTTCCAGCAAAGGAAGATGTACAACCACACCCCCACCAGGAACAGCCCCACTGGTGAACGTGACACTGATGGGAGTTACCAAGGAAGAGCAAACTCAGGAGACCAGCCTTCTCCTCCTGATCGTTACCTGTGTAATCTTCTTCGTCTTCCAGCAACTCGGGCTTCAGGAAGGTGTGATGTGGGTGCTCGGCTGTACCGTATAAGATGAGGCCCCACTCTTTCAGCTTCCCTGCAAGACACCAAATCAATCCGGTCACCTTGGGCAGCTCTGGTACACCTGCAGGCCCCTGGGCCTGTGCAAAGCCCTCCATTTGTCAGTTAAACAAGGGTCAGATGCGACCAGGCCTTGCCTCCCTCAGCAGGGCTCTGGCTTATGAACTTTGCTTCCTGCTCACCTGCTGACAAGGTGCACCATGTCCCTCCCAGGGTACCAGTTGCTCTTCTGGACATCTCCTTCCTGCAAGCCAGACCTCTTCCCTATGCTATTGAGCTGCCCCATCCCACCCTCCCCACCTCACTTCTGTCCCTGCTGGGAGGGTTCAGCTGAGTGGGGCACATTGCTATCCTAGAGGGGTCCTTGGCCCCTACTCTCCCTGTAGCCTCCTGCACAATTGGCAATGGCTACCTGCCCCTCTTGGGATGTCCACTGGGTAGACTGGGTGCCAGGCCTGGCTGGAGCCATGGGACACATAGCACTGAGGAGCTCTGCTGCTTAGATCCTCAACCGTAGAGGGCAGGAGGACTTGGCTGTGAACACTTTCCTCTCTAGTCAGCCAGGGCAGTTGTGGTAGGGGGAGTCCTGGAAGTAACAGTAGGTTTAACCCCAAGTGTCAGCAGAGGCCCAGGGGGCAGGGAGAACACCCTCACCAGCAGGAGGATGAATGACACAGATGGGGCTCTGTGGGGGGAAATAAGAGACGGACAGGCATGGAGGGAGCTGGTAGCTGATGGGAGTCACCCAAGCTGTGGTGGAGGATGACGGGGACCCTGCTCCACCCTCTGCGTCCATGTGGAAACAGCCTGTGTAGCTGTGTCTGTTCAGGGGAAGAGAGGTGGGAAACCTGGCTTGTGATTTTCAGGTGAATTCTTTTTATGTCTTTGTTTCTTTGCGGTGCTGGGGATGGAACCCAGGGCTTTGTGCATGCTGGGAAGGGCTCCACCACTGAGCCACACTTCCAGCCCTCCAGGGATGTCATCCAACACATCAAAAGCCAAGGAACACACATCTGCAGACCTGCTCAGTCACTGACCATGGGTGAGGCCTCTTTTCCTTACAGCAGCATCCCAGCATTCAGAGCCACTGTGTCGAGATCATCAGTGTCAGGCACACACAGGTGAGGGAGGGGTCACGTCCAATGTGGCCAGCCAAAAGACACACTGGTCATTCTAGCAGGGGCTCTCTGCTGCTTGGCCTTTCTGGCTTTATTTATAACTGGACAGCTCAACATGAAACTCACTCAAACCCACCCAGAACCAGCTCAAGGGACCCTCTCTATGACCACAGAGGAACAGTGTCTTTGCCAGCTAATGTCTGTGTTGGTGGGAAAATCCCTAGTTTCCACTTTTCTTTTCTGTCACCGGATTTCCTGGCAGTTGGAACACCCTTGGCAAGGAAAAGCATCACCCTGACTCTCTGGTGTGTGCCACATTTTTGTTGTCACATCCGTCTATCATCCTAATGACTTCCATCTCTCTGCTCCAATGGCAGACCATCTGTCTTTAGAGACCTGTCCACAGACTGTTTTTTCTGTGTCACTACAACTTATCCTTGGCTCCAGTTTTGGGGCTCGTTAAACTCCAGCACAGAACCATACACCTGGGGGCTATGACCCACAGGGTCCTGGGTGGGTGAGAGATGGGCAGGCCTGGCCCTGTAGCACATGTCACCTTCTGGTGCTGTTGCAAATGATGTTGGACTTGAATCTGGTTACAAAATGTGGCATGTCAGCAGCACTGTTTTGTTTTAGCCATCACCCTAGCTGACTCAGGTACCAGGGCCCCAAAGCTTGTAGGCTCCAGATGGGTTGGGAATTTAATCCCCCAATTCACATTAATGGTATTTGGAAGTGGAGCCTTTAGGAGGTAATCAGGATTAGATTATCCCATGAGGATGGGCCGCAGGATGGCATCAGTGACTATACAAAGAAGAAGAAAGGGTGAAGATGGAGGAATATTATGCACTCATGTATGAAAAAGGAAAAATGAGACCTGTTGACACTATTCCAGGAACGGGGGAAAGGTGGCAAAGAAGAATGATGGAGGGTGAATTCAACTGTGACATATTGTAAGAACTTTTGTAAATGTCACAATGTTCCCCCAGTACAACAATAAGATAGTAAAAAAAGAAGAGACCAGAGTCAGCTCACATGCTGTCTTGTCATATGATGCCATCCCCAGTGTCATGGTACAGCAAGGAGGTTCTCACCAGATGCTGGTGTCTTGCTCTTGGATGTCCCAGCTTCAAGAACTGTGAGCCAAGTAAACCCCCATTTCTTGTAAATTACCCAATCTCAGGCATTTTGTTATAGTGACAGAACAGATCAAGGTGCTGCCCCAAGTCAGAGCCTGTACTGCCTGAGCCTCTCGCAGCCTGGCCAGCATTAGAGGACATTTTCCTTCAACTTGAAAGAGCCTTCCTGAGCAGACGGTTTCCTAGTACACAGTCTCCCAAAGGCCTGGCTCCTTTAGACACACGGTGGCTTATCACCCCAGCACTAACGCCGGTGCACACACTTGACCATGGCAGACTACGGAGGGCTCCACACAGTTCCAGGTGCAGAAAAGACAGCGTGACAGCCAGCTGATGAATCATCACCTGTCCTCAGCAACTTAGGATCACATTAAAGCTATATTTCAAAGCCACACGGCATCTGGGCTCTTTACCTACTGGCTGATGAACCGTGATTGAGGTGGCATGGCTGAGGGATGAGGCACAAGACGCTATGATTTGAGTTGAAATTTATTTCAACCCTGTAAGATATCTCCAGAAATGCCCATAAAAGGCCTATATGTTGAAATTAGATTATTATTATTATTTTTATTTTTTTTGCAACACTGGGGTTTAAACTCAAGGCCTACACCTTGAACCACTCCACCAGCCCTTTTGTTTTTGTGAATTTTTTTTTTTTT